CCTAATATGTTGCGTCCATGGTGTCAGTGGAGGATTTCGCCTATCTCAGTCGTGCATACAGGACCGCAGTGAAGCCCGGCGTCACCAGCGAAGAGATCTCGCCTTTTCAGTCCGAGGATATCCGCCAGAGTCTTGATCATCGTTACTTGCGGAAAAATGTCGCCAACGTGTTAGCAGCGACAAAAGCGCGAGTGAGTAACAGAGGCGGTGACCACGTCAGTTCGTTGGACCAACAAGTGATAACGAGTAGGCCGAATTGGTTTGAGAAAGTGCTAAATACATGTCCCCTCATCGCTCACCGAAGAGAGAGTTGTTTTGTCTACTGGGGGCTAGTTGGTGTGAGGCTCGAGGAGGCGGCCCTTGACTTGACAACGGGAAACGAACTAGACGCTATTGTTCTACCTTTCCTATTCCGCGCTTGACTCTAGATTCTAAACGACACGGCCATAAGCAGCAGGAGTGGCGTGCCTGCTTCGAATTTCATCTAGATTAGCTGTTTGAACTGTATATAGTGCTGGACCAACTGTGGAATCTGTTTGCTTATGAAGTGGGTTGGTGAAAGCTGCAGGGAAACTTGTTGGTGTCGTATTATCATCACGTCACATCCAACTGTTGGTAACCGCGCGGTGTTGTTAAGGTGTACGTACCCTGATCAGGATATTAAGGTTTTGTCCTTCGTAACTTTTGTAATTCCTTCTTACTCGTTATACATAAGTTCATCACAGTTGTGCTGCTTGCTAGGCAGCCCAGATCATATGGTTGAGAAACCGTAATCTAGCATCAGCAATGATCCGCAGGTAACGATCATCAAAAATTTGGTGCCTCAGATCAGCAAACCGGGAGAGTCAAACCTCACTCTCAGTGATGAGAACGGTCTTCAATGTGCCTTTGTATACAGAAGTTTTCAGACGGAGGAAACCCCTCTTTTATGCCACAGATCTCTCAGGTACATGTCGGTTCTAGCCTTCACAATGCTTGAACTAACCTCAGTAGCCATACGTCCATCATTGTCAATGCAGTTGCTAAGATAGGTGAATTGATCAGATATCTCAAGTTCTTGGTCATTAAGGGTCCAAGTGGTTATGAAGTAGTTGGGAGTACTGAGACAAAACTGCTCTTCGAGGGCATACAGGGCATGCCAAATGATGGTGCCATTCCGGGGAGCTTACGCATAGTTGACTGAGCCGTTACGGGACTGTCAGACAAAACCGCATCGCCTACACAGTCCAGGTCAACTAATTTTCCACCAGGCAGCACTTCAGTGCATACGACAAGAGATTCCGCAAGGAGCCATTCAATGATTGTGTCCACGACAAAGCTGAACGAAGATGGAGGAATGGGAGAACCCTCAAGAGTGCCACCAGCTGTCAGAAAGGCGTCCGACAATTCGCCGAAGATCTAACGCGATATGCACATGGAAGGTAAAATGTTCATATATTTCATGATAATACCTTTCGAGCAAGTATATCGAAAAGAGCGAGTTTATTACGGTCAAATGCACCCTTAAGGTCAAGGAACACAGCTATACTCAGTCTGTGGTACATATGTCTCTATCATAACAAATGCTGCGGTGAATATATCCTCCATACAGCCGCGTCCCGGACGAAAACGCTCCTGTTCATCCACCATCCAGGATACCCGTTCCACAGTAAGACGATGGACGAGAATTGAGGCTAGTAACTTAGGAACTGTCAGCCTCAGACACACACCCCTGTCAGCACAAACGGCGCGACCGTACTTCCCATATATTTCCATTACTATTGATTCGCCTGTGGGCTGGTATGCCTCCTTCTTCCCATATCCGTTCCAACAGGTGCATCGGTTTTTGCAGAAGACCTTTTCCCCGACCTTAAATACCGCGCGGGCGAAAAAATCCGGAAATTCTTGAAGGCTGTAATCGGTTTCAAACAGCTTCCACTGGAGCATAAACAAACCGACCGTGGTTCAACCTGCACCACCTGAGCATGACGAGGTCTAGGAGTGAGTAGCCAACTAAACTACTCCCGAGTGCTCCGTCCAACGAGCTAAATGGCGTCTCTTTTGTGGACTAGGGCGCCGGTACCTTTCCTCTTTACGCATAAGCACCTGAAACCAGTGGTGTGAATGATCTGGGAGGAACTGCAGTAATCGCCCGTCGCTCCTGCTTTCTCCATTTCTTGTGCTATTTAGGTTCACGGGACTCCCTTGTTACCACGTACACTCCGTCCTATGTCACGCCTAGTATTTCACTGGTCACATTGTGCCCGGTGTAAGCAAGGATTTTTCTGGATTCCGATAGGCTCACTGAAGCTTCTTATCAGATCATCACTATACACGTTAGCTGCAGGTAGAAAAAGAACTCAGGTATTCTGCCGCGATACAAAAAAGTGCAATAGAGGCACGCCGGCTGAGTCCACAGTAACGGATGGACATCATTCTGGAGAACTAACAGCAGGCTATTGTGCCACAAAAAGGGTTATATTATGCCTAATACATGAGATCATGGTTAGAGGCGGAGGCTAAGGTGGAAGGACAAAGAAACTCACAACATAAACACCATTGAGATAGGCACCTAACCAAATGTGTTCATCGTCATTCGGTCCCCAATTTGGGAGCCGAGGAGCTCCAACCGAGGCCAACTTCGAAGTGAGGGTCTTCATTCCTCTTGACCAACTCATCGCTTGGCCAACCCTCCTCATCTTCCATCCATACACCGGTCGCGCAGACAACGCATGCCGCGGGAGTCGGTGGGCTGGCATGCGCAACACGTGGCCCAGTTATCGAAGCCTGGTGCGTGAAATAACGGTGCTCAGATGTTTGCTTCTTCTTCCTGCGCCATAAACAAGGCGTCGAACCTACTCATTGCTCACACGGTGTTCCCCACTGAAACTTCTGATACTCAGTGTTTCGTCGTATAAACCATGATAGCACCAGAAGAAGAAACGCCTGTACCATGCATAGCAGCGGATACCATTTTATGCAAACCATTTTGCAAACCAAATGGGATACATTGCATTCCAAGCAAAAAGTCTGCAATTTAATAACAAGAAATGAGGACTAAGGCAACTAGACGATGTTCAGGCTCATTGTAGTCATGTTAATGCAACCAAATTGTGTAATCAGCGGGTGCCACTGCAAACTGTTCTCTTGATTGGGGACCTCAATCAAAGGCGGTGACTGAGTCCCACCTTTCTCCCCATCGGCCTTCGCGCAGTCTATGTACCCGTGACTTTACATTTTGACATGTGTAGCTGTGTGACTATCGGAAAGTCAGACTTCTGAGTCGCGTAGTCCATTATGAGTTAAAGGGTCATGGTGAAGCACTCGTTTTGTAAATGGATTGCGATGCGAAATCCCAATATGGACCGCGATTCCTAATGATCATCTGTGTCATTCGTCACAATCAAAGCCGGTGACCCGGATTCTCCTGCCCCTGTATAGGCCTTCGCGTATTCTGTGTAGGTGTGTGGGTGAACCTTTGGAACAGAGTAGGCCATCATGACTCCGCCAAACCCAGCATCGCTTTGTTAGCATTGTGCTGCACGACACGATCAAAATGAGCGACCAAGGATAATCGCCCATTGTTTGCACAGTTCTGTTGCGTTTGCGTCACCACAATGTGGCCTAAACATCATCTAGTCGCCTTACTCTCGTCTTTGAGCAAATTGCAGCAGTAGCCCAGTAAAGATAGGGCGGGTTTGGTGGAGTCATGATAGCCTACACTATTCCAATAGTCTAGCAGCTGCATAGTTTCGACCACACACCCACCCAAAATACGCGAAGGCCCACAGAGTGACAGGGGACTGCTGGGTCGCCTCCTATCTGCTTCATCCGTTACGGTCCCAGTGATCGCATTGGTCAAGGTCTAGTTCAGTGTGAATCGTGGTCCATATCGGGATTGCACATCGCAATCCATCCACAAAGTCAGTACTTCAAAACGACCCTCTAATGCTGGGTATCAATTGTTTAAGTCATAATAGACTAAACAGTTCGGGAGTCTGACTTTCCAATAATCACACAGCTACACAACTCAAAGTGTAAAGTCACAGGCATAGACCACGCGAAGGCCAATGGGAAGAGACGGGAACTCAGTCACCGCCTTTGATCGAGGTTCACAATCAAGAGAACGGTTTGTGGTAGCATCAGCTGATTACACAATTTGGTTGCATTAACATGACTACAATGAGTGTGAACATCGTCTAATCGCCTTAGTCCTCATTTCTTGTTAGCAAATTGCTCATTTTCTGCTTAGAATGCAATGTGTCCAATTCGGTTTGCAAAATGTTCAATTTGTGATTAGCAAAACGTCCAAATTAAAGTTATATATATATATATATATATATATATATATATATATATATATATATATACTCGACAAGTCGAATTTGGCTGCGCCTCATGTGTATGTTGATAAGGTGTCTCCCGTTAGGCGCCTTCACCCTGCTTAATAGAGCCGGTTGGGTGCGCAGTCTTGGATAAAACGCTGATTTCAAAGAGTTACTCTATCTTGGGAAAGGCTGCAGTCTAGCTGCAGCCATTCACACTTTGATACCTCTTTGTAGAGTTGCGTGAGTTAGTAGCGTATGTCTTGGCATTAAGTGTTACAATAACCGTGACGTACCATTACTCATAAGCGATACGCGTCAAGACAATGATAAACGGCTTCAAATCAACCATGCTCCCAACTCTTGCCTCCTAGTAAGATTCCCTCGGGTCTACACTCGATTCTAGGTATGTAGCGCAGTTGTGGATGATTTAGTGCAACACCTTCTAGGCGGAGGTGTTTTCCGCAGCCGGTCAAACTCACAGTGCCTGATGAACAGGGGGCGGCTACTGTCCAGCGTATTTTTCTGAGGAAGGGTCGTTCATGCAATTTTGGGAGTGTGTTTGATCCATTGGCTGAACAACAATCTGGTGTAAATGTGAAAGGTTACTGTCAATTATGAAAAGGACACGACAAAGGTAAATGTACACGAAAATCAAACGGGACGCATGCGTAATCGGATATATCTGGAGCTCACCATTTGCGGGAGGAAGTTCATTTTGGTTGGAGAGCCACAGGAGGATGAAATCGGCCCGTCTGTTTTTCGTTCGCCTGCGCAATAAAAAGAAAGTAGGCGAAACTAGATGGGGAAAGTCTGCTCGTTACGAAATAGTACGTAAAAGGAATAAATCAAAATAACACATACGGTCAAGTGTCGGGATAATTCACTACACTACACAGAACATTCAAATTCCATACGTCGAGCTGAGCGGTAATGCATAGAGAACGTCTACTACTTCACTTCAAAGTACGCACGGAAACAAATTTGGGAAGACGAAGGTGGAAACCGAGGGTGAGCTCGGCATTTTAAAAAAATCACTGGGGATTTAACAAGGTGGGCATATCAGAAGACGAAATGAAATGACACTGTGAAATGACACTGTCATTTTGTGCATACTCGTCGGCCAAGTACACAAAGCTAACGACGGATACAAAACAGCGTCACATAAAATTAATTAAATGTTTTCCGATTGGTGCGTTGCAAGCTACCAAGGTAAACTTGGTGTCACTGTCAGCTGTTTTTAGGCACAGAGTGGTGGGCACTGTCGATCGATAACAACGGTCTCAAATAGCTTGAGTATGTGAGGCCTTTCACTACGCACGAGGACTACGAAGGACTCATCCAGACACAACCCGGTTGGTCAAGAAGCACTTGCGTCGTGAATTACAGATCTTATTGCTAAATCGTTTCATCACAGACGATGGATACAAAGTGTCAAAAGTAAGAGGTAGCGAACGAGTTCGTTTTCAGTGGCTCAGCTCTACTACACCACTAATCAAATGGGATGAATAAAGAGATCGAAATGATTGGTCAAATCAAGGGGCATGGCATGATCACCATTGTTAGTCGAGGTGAGTTGTGGCTAGAGCAGCCAGATGGCATGTACGAGTTTCTTTTGAGCACATAGCTCCGTGTTTTGGAGTCGGATAGGGACTGCCTCCGCTGCAGCCAGTAAACGGCATCTGTCCGTTCGCGTGTATTGTCCGGGTATCCGGTAGACGGGCTGAAACACCTCTCGAGTCCAGTTCAACAAGACATCGGAGGGGACAATACAGAGGAGAGTTCACGAAAACAACATGGAACGGACAGTATATCCCTTTCGCTAGTTTTGTCCCAATAAGCCAGAAAAGAAACCTCATCCGTTGTTTAACAGAGAGGGCGATAAGGATATGTACAACAGACACACTTTCCGAAGAACTAGGTCTCATACATAGCGTGTTCCAGCGGAATGGATACCCAGATAAGTCCAACCACTGGCACTGGAAGTACGAACATCAAAAGTTAAACAAATTTCCCCTGAAAAGCGGCCAATCTGTCTTCCGTTACCACTCAAGGGTGACATGATAAGAAAGAACAGTCCGGAAGCTATCTAGTGCCACCACCAGCACATTCCCTGCGGCCGAATGGTGAGTCAGTTTCAATAAAACACTGATTATGAGCAAAAACTCAAGGACAGAGTGCTTTGATTTGAGATTTTCTCTCGTGTGTACAACTTCTCTTGATCGTGTCGAACAAGATATATTGGGAAAACTACTAGGCGCTGTCACAAAGAGTTCGGGAACATTGCCATGCTTGGCTCAGCATAGAGAGGGCAATAACGAGTGCCTTGCTGTCGCACCTGATTGATTTCAATCACCGGGTCAAAAGGTGAGAGGTGTTTCAGCCCATCAATCGGATACCCAGACAATACACGCGAACGGACAGATACCGTTTACTGGCTGCAGCGGAGGCAGTCCCTATCCGACTCCAAAACACGGAGCTATGTGCTCAAAATAAACTTGTACATGCCATCCGGCTGCTCTGGCCACATCCCGCCTCGACTAACGATGGTGATCACGCCATGCCCCCTGATTTGACTAATCATTTAAATATATTGATTAATTATTTCGATCTCTTTATTCACCCCATTTGATTGGTGTTTTGGTTAACCCTCCCATCGTGGAGAAGAGCCACTGAAAAGGAACTCGTTCGCCACAACTTAATTTTGAAGTCGCCCCTGGGAATATTTTCTTAACTGAATATAAAACGCTAAAGCCAGTGGGTACGCAAAGTCCACAGATGTATGGTCTACCAAAAGTACATAAAGCAGGACTCACCATGGTAAATTCACCGTACGATACTACTGCTAAATGGATGAACTGCATGCTTGAAACAGTGAGAAGATCCATCTTCAGACCCGTACAATCATATGAGTGAAATAGCAATGGGTGTAAAAGTGGTGTACCTTTTCAACGGAGACACTCATTCGTATTCACAACAATGACAAGTTGCCGACGGTGACCGCTTCGATGGTCATTTATCAGTTCCAGCGCGCCTGTGGCGCTACCTACATCGGTCGGACGGCGCGGCAACTGTCGAAGCGCATTAAGCAGGACCTACCACGCTGGTTGCGTCGAGGCGGTACTGGGACTTTAACTACCTCTGCTATGGCTCACCTTGTTGATAGTGGGCATGAAGTTGACCCAATCCGTGCATTTCGGATACTATACAGGGTCCCTCCACTCTAGTCGAAAGGCCTGCGCCTCCGCATCGTTGCTACTGCCGAGGCGATCAGCATTCAGTTGTATCAACCGCTTTTGTATGCACAAAAGAAGCTGATAAGCTATCTTGGCCAGACAAAACGGATTCTTCTGGGGGCAACTGTAATTATGCAACTACACCTTTGTTCTAGTTTGTCGTTTGTGGCTGGTTCATGCCCTAGGTCGGCACGTGATCGCATGTCATTTGAACTGATCGAATCCAATTTTACGCCCATTGATATTTCATATGATTGTACGAGTCCGAAGATGAATCAACGAAAACAATCATTTACCTTCGGTCTTTCGTTCTTAATAATGAAATGGGAATTTTCCAGTTAGTGAGAAGATTCTTATTAAGCTATACTCTGTGGAACACCTTCGGAGTACTTCCCCATTTGGAACGCATAAACTCAACGCACAAGCACATGTGTTCAATATCAGAAATCATTTCAGGGTAAAGAATTCTTTTCGGTAAATCTCATCAGACCCAAACTTTTACATAACAGTGATTGTGGATATAGCGTCAACTGGGGCTGGGATTGACTTCTTGACTGTTTGAATGACCAAAATCGATAACTTGAGACAGAGATAGAGATGGTAGACCAAGTAAACTAAATAAACATATGTACACAATTCTCATTAGTACAAGGTAATTAAGTAGGTAAGATGACGTCCAAATAACTAAGTAACGGTGTCCGTTGGCCAAGGTAGTAATATCGGCCGTATAAATCGTTTTTGGACACATAATTCCGGCTTTAGATAGTGAATGTACATAGCCTTGGCGATGGCTAAGAGCTGTTTGCGGAATCCTTGGGAGAAGTGTTCAGGTAATGAGTAAATGACTTTGAAGTCATTCTCCGAAGCTGTATGGCCACATTCAAGGAGGTGCGACATGATAGAGTTGTGTTCACTTGACATCCAGTCATTTTCACCAATATTCCGTTGAGACAGTTGACCACCTATACGAGTTTATCACCAAAAACAACATTCGACCACATCTCTGCACGGAATTGTTGAAAAACATGCTCCTACTGTGTATACAAGATGTCAAAGTTTACATTCAAGAAAAAGCATACCGAGAGATTGATGGCCCCTTGCTAGGGGACGTGTTCACGAGTATGATTAAGGAGAAATTAGACATCAACAAGTTTACAACTTTATATAAATGCGATTTTCATGCAAGATGCCCATTTCTGTGTATTTTAAAGGGTAAAGTGAGCGGTAAGCTCTCGACAAACACTTTTTCGATCAATTCATCATCAGGTCGTTACAACAATAGACACAACGTTGGAATAGGTTGGATTAATGTATAACAGACAAATACGTTAAACAGTTTAAAGTGCTTTCCCGACATTGATGTCAACTGCGTGTTGGGATGTGATTTACTCTGTTCGTTTGTGGTTGTCCAAGGCGATTGTAATGATTGAACCATCTTCTTTTGGACGCATGAGTTTGGATTCATCAGTCTTATGCATACCGCCTCCGTGGTATCAAGCAGACGATTCCTTATTCGTTGGTTCGGGTGTAGTGCTACTCTGTATACGATGTCAAAAGTTGACAAACAAACCGCTTTTGACATCGTATACAAAGTACCACCACACCCGAACCACCGAATAAGGAATCTCATGCAGGCATTTCCCTTCACAAACAGGCTAATCCCCGCTTACTACAGTTTGCGGAGGCGGCAGCAATTCGGCGGCTGAAGCCAAATCTATGCAAGCAAACGGATTTCGTGACCACGCTAGCCCTACCCTGGTGAGGCTAGTGATTGCGTTTTCCTCGGGACAGGTCACGTGAGCCTAAAGACCTTCGACCGCTTTGGATTTTTGCTGTTAACATAGCACTGTTTTCCACTCATTGTATGTAAACAGCTGAGGAGAATACGCGAAATTACTGAATTCAGTAAATTCTGTTATAATGTTGTTTCTTCTTGCATTATTGGAATAAGGAATCGTCTGCTTGATACCACGGAGGCGGTATGCATAAGACTGATGAATCCAAACTCATGCGTCCAAAAGAAGATGATTCAATCATTACAAGCGCCTTGGACAACCACGAACGAACAGAGCAAATCACATCCCAACATGCAATTGACATCAATGTCGGGAAAGCACTTTAAACTGTCTAACCTTTTGGTCTGTTGTATATTAATCCAACCTATTCCAACGTTGCATCTATTATTATAACGAGCTGATGATAAATAATTCGAAAACAATTGTTTGCTAAAACGCTATTGTGGGTATATTGTTAGTCATGGATTTGGATGAAGACGTTGCACTCCAAACCAAAGCGCTCAATGATGTGCATCAGAACCTTAGTGTGATGAGAAAATAAGCACGACAGTTGTCTCCAATACTTAGACAAACTGCTCACACGACGACCAGATGGCTCGATCAAAGGATCAGTCTACCGGAAGGTGATCTGGAAGGGCCAATACTTACATTTAAGTTTATCGTCAATCCATCACAGCTGCTCTTTATTTCGAACCTTGTTCCATCGAGCTCATATGATTTGCATCACAGATAGACTAA